TTTCCATCACAGGTACCCATCATGTTCCCCTCTTTTAGCCATGCCTGCTCTCTCCGTACCTACCCCCAGCCTCTTCTTAACCCTTGACAACCACTAATCTGTTCTTCATTTCTATAATTTTGTCATTTCAAGAATGTTACAGCGATGCCCAGGCAGCTCAGTTGGTTAAGCGTCCTACTTCAGCTCAGGTCATGATCTCACGGTTGTTGGGTTCAAGCCCCGCGTCAGGCTCAGTGCTGACAGCTTGCTCAGAGCCTGGAGACTGCTTCAGATTCTGTGTCTCTCCCCCTCACACACACACTCATGCTGTTTCTCTCTCTCTCAAAAATAATTATTAAAAATTTTTTTTAATGTTATATAAATGGAATTAGATATAGTATGTATTCTTTTCAGATTGGGGTTTTTCTTCCCCCGGCATAGTCCTCTAAGATAGTCATCAAGTTTCTGGCATGTATCAATAGTTCATTCATTTTGATTGCTTAGCAGTGCTCTGTGGGATGGGTTACTCCCATTGATTTAAAAGCTCTTTACTCACTGAAGGACAACTGTCTTATTTCCAGTTTGGGTCCCTTCCAAATAAAGCTGCTGTAAATGTTTGTGTATAGGTTTTTGGTGAACCTAATTTTTCGTTTCTCTCGGGTAAATGCCCAAGTCTTTATTTGCTGGGTTGTATGCTAATTGCATGTTTAGTTTTAACTTAGGTGAATTCAGTCTCCAGATTACTTTTCCACAGTAGCTGGCAGTTTAAATCTTTGTTCAGTTCTTGTAACCTTAGCTGGGCTGTTTGTAGTCTAACCTTCCAGAGATACAGTTCACGGGTCAGCGAGAGACTTGCTTGAGTGTAGAAGCAGATTTCAGGGTTTCCTCTCTTAGGTTCTCTCCTGTCCTGCATTCTCATCCTTAGTTCCCAGTTTCTATGTCCTAAACTTAGCCTTCTGGTCATTGTTTCAGCAAGGCAAGTTTTTGGCCTTCCCAGGTGATTCCAACTGGGGCCTGCCTTCAGGAATAAAGCCATGAGAGGAGAACAGCCAGCTGCTCAGTACTGTTCCTTCTTTCCAGCGGCTCAGTACTGTTCCTTCTTTCCAGCTGCTCAGTACTGTTCCTTCTTTCCAGCTGCTCAGTACTGTTCCTTCTTTCCAGCTGCTCAGTACTGTTCCTTCTTTCCAAGTGTAGACTTCCCTCCAGATTCTGCCTGCTTTTCATATCTTTCCAGTGTTTTCAGGCAGGGATTTTTTTTATATTTTCTCTAAGGTTTATAATTGTTAACTGCACGAAGATTATCCCAATAAGACATACTCTGCCATTTCTCAAAGTGGATGTATTGTATATTCTTTTTTAATTTTATACAGACGCAGCATACCAATATTTATCTTGCTTTTTAAACTAAATATATAATGGAGATTGTTTTCTTTTCAATGTATATAATTATGCCTTTTTTTAATTGTATAATTATCCACTGTATGGGTATACTCTTCAACAACTTCCACTGTTGGTGGACACTTGATTTGTTCCCATTTTTTGCTATTTAAATATTATGTACCCTTGAACATAAGGCATTTTGTGTATGTGCAAGCATTTTTGGATTAATTCTTGGAAGTAGAATTGTCAGATTGGCCTACATAAAGATGGCTATGATTTATACATTCAGCAACATTGGGTAAGAATGCCAGTTTTCTCCCCACACACTAACCAACGCAGTATTAAAATTTTTGTCCCATCTGTCTATTTTTACAAATGACTTTTAGTTTTAATTTGCTTTCCTCTTATGAGACTAGTTAAGCATCTTTTAGTATATTTAAAGGCCATTTACATTTTTTATGAACTTCCTTTATATGTTCTTTGCCCGTTTTTCTTCTGAGATTTTGAGTTTTTTACTTGTAAGAACTTTTCAGAATATATTAAATATATTCTTACATCACTCATCATTAGGGAAATACAAATGAGATACCACTTCACTCCTGTCAGAATGGCTAAAATTAACAACTCAGGAAACAACAGGTGTTGCCAAGGATGTGGAGAAAAGGGAACCCTCTTGCACTGTTGGTGGAAATGGAAACTGTTGCAGCCACTCTGGAAAACAGCATGAAGTTTCCTTGAAAAGTTAAAAATAGAACTAGACTACGATCCAGCAATTTTTCTACTAGGTATTTACCCAAAGGGTACAAAAATACTGATCTGAAGGGATACATGCACCCCAATGTCTATAGTAGCATTATCAGCAATACCCAAATAATGAAAAGAACCCAAATGTCCATTGACTGATGAATGGTTATGGAAGTTGTATATATATACAATGGACTATAACTCAGCCATAGAAAGAATGAAATCTTACCATTTGAAATGACATGGATGGAGCTAGAGTATGATGCTAAACGAAATAAGTCCATCAGACAAAGACAAATACCATATGATTTCTCGCATGTGGAAATTAAGGAACAAGACAAATGAATCTGGGTGGGGAGAGGTGGGAAAAGAGGAAAAGGCAAACCATAAAACAGACTTTTAACTGTAGAGAACAAAGGGTTACTGGCGGGAGAGGTGGCCGGGGGATGGGCTAAATGGGTGATGGTTATTAAGGAAGGCACTTGTTATGATGGTCACTGGGTGTTCTAATGAAGCTCTTCTCAATTTCAAGATTTAATTTTTTCTCCTGTATTTCCTCCTAGTGTTTTTTTCTGTTGTTGTTGTTTATTATGTTTGAATTTTTTATCTATCTGAATCTAAAATTTATCTTGGGAGGAAGAACGTAGAAACAATGCAACCTTTAAAAACTTTTTTTTGACAAATGCCTTTTGTGTACTTTATATTCTCCAGCATAAGAAAATATCTAAAATATTTATATTCACACCTGTTGATTCATAATTTATGGTTTCTGCTTTCAGTATCATGCTTAGGCTTTCTCCACCCTCCAAATTATACCTCTATTTTATTTTTGCTATTAATGATATTTTTTATATTTAAATCTCCAATGAACCTAAAAGTATTTTGACATATGGTGAGTTGGTACCAAACTTATTTTCTATCCAGTTAACTAGACTGTTGTTCTGCTGCCATTCATTGAATCATTTTCTCACAAATTTCAACTGCTACCTTTAAAATTTTCAGATTTGTATATATGGAACTGTTTCTTCTCTTTTATTTAATTGATTGCCCAGGTTCCTTGTACTGATAGCAGACTGTCAATTACTTGAAAAATAAAAATGGCAAGACAAATAAAAATAAAACAAGGAACACTTGTTTTAAAAGATTCTGCAATGTCTTCTAAATCTAAAATATTTTTTGGCTGTTATTATATTTTCCGAAGAGTGCTTTAAACTCAAATGTAAAGTAGTTTTTAAAGTGTGAATTAATTTGGGGAGAACTAACATCTTTACATTTAATAATCTCGTTCAGGGGGTGCCTGGGTGGCTCAGTCAGTTAAGCGTTGGGCTTCAGCTCAGGCCATGATCTCACTGCTCGTGGGTTTGAGCCCCCCATCAGGCTCTGTTCTGACAGCTCAGAGCCTGGAACCTGCTTCGGACTCTGTGTCTCCCTCTCTCTCTGCCTTCCTTCACTCACACTCTCTCTCTCATAAATAAACATTTTTTTATTGTTTTAATTTTGTTTATGTTTACTTACTGTTTGAGAGAGAGAGACAGAGTGTGAGTGGGTGAGGGGCAGAGAGAGAGGGAGACACAAAATCCGAAGCAGGCTTCAGGCTCTCAGCTGTCAGCACAGAGCCCGACACGGGGCTCAAACCCATGAACCATGAGATCATGACCTGGGCTGAGGTCAGATGCTTAACCAACTAGCCACCCAGGTGCCCCCATAAATAAACATTAAAAAAAATTTTTTTTAAATCTCATTCAGGAACATGGTATATTTTTGTATTTGTTTATGTTTCTCTGTTGATTTTTGTAATTTGTAACCATAGTATCTGCAGTGTATACCATTATGTAATATGTGATTATATACTTTAAAAAAGAATAGTTGCTAAGAAAGTACATTTTCAGAGTTCTTATCACAATGAGAAAAGTTTTTTCATGTTTTCTTCTTTTTATCTCCATGAAAAGATGGATGTTAGCTGAATCTATTGTAATGATTTTATAATACATATAAATCCAACTATCATGTTGCATGCTTTAAACTTATACTGTAAATATATTCAAATAATTCTCAATAAGACTGGCAAAATTTTTAATAATTAAAAAATTAATTTTTTAAAATTGAAGAGTTGAAAGATATAAAGTAAGATTTTACATGGTTATCTCTGCTCAAATGATAGGTGATTTGGGGGTTTGTTTTCTTGGTGCTTGCCTGTTTTTTCAAAAGTTTAATATTTAAGCATATATAACTTTCTTGTCATTGGAAAGTCACAATTCCAGAACAGTAATATGAAATATTTTATGTACAGTGATATATAAAGTACATATAAATACTTCTTTAAAAAAATTTTTTTTTTACTTTTTAAATTTATTTTTAAGAGAGAGTGCAAGCAGGGGAGGGGCAGAGAGAGAGGGAGACAGGGAACCCAAAGCAGGCTCCAAATGGTCAGCACAAAGCCTGATGTGGGGCTTGAACTCATGAACCGTGAGATCATGACCTGAGTTGAAGTCTGACACTTAACCAACTGAACTACCCACTTGCACCATATAAAGACTTCTAATGCGAAAAATAAATTTATGTTCACAAATACCATCTGAAAATAAAAATCATTTCAAGCTTTTTATCCAAAAGAAAACAATTATAACTTTAATTGTTCATAATAATTTTAAATTCCAGGCTGTATAATTATAGGTGATGTCAAAAGCTGAGAAAATAATATTTCTATTAGTTTTTCTCTTAAGCAGCAGTGGAGTTTTTAAGTGAATATTCAATAACTTAAATAATATAGAGTTGGGTTTTTGGTTGGCCATCAGCTGTGGTTTAATTAACATCTAATACATTCTAATATGTCTGGTAAGCTTCAGGTTAATATGGAATATAGTGACACATACTTTTTTACCATAATCTCTTTACAGTGTAGATTTTCAGAAAAGGTGACTAAAGAAGAAAAAGAAAATAATTTTGAAGTTTGCAAAAGGTCTGTAACATTTTAATTATGTAACTTTAAAATAGTCATATAATTTGTGTTTTGAGTGTGTTTTTCATTCTCTGCTCTATGTACTTGGGCTACTATGCTGTAAGCCATACATGGGTATTATTAAATTGGCGTATCATGTATACCTAGGTGTCAGTGGTAACTTAAGTTACCTTAAAGCTGTCACAAAGATTTTTGAGCCATTAAAATATTTTTTAAGAAGGAATAAAGAATAGTGATAAAAGAAAAAAAGAATGTGTACAAGACCTGTGAAGGTAAAAGTAGCTGAAATCAGGTGAATATTGCAGTTTGCAAGTATCTGACATGGTTGTGGTCGTGAGTACTGCAAATTTCAGTACACTCACTAAGAATATATGCAAATACAAAACTTCGAGTTGAAAGATACCTTGGGGATCACCTGATCCATCCTGCACTCCCATTTTGCTGTCGAGGCAAGGTACTCTCAAATCAGGTGACCAATGTGTTCAAGTCCTTTTATGTTAAGATCGTAGTTTTCCCAGTGTGTTCCTTACAGCATCAGCATGTGGGAGTGAGTCAGAAATGCAGATTATTTGGTCCCATCCCTGATCTGTTAAATCAGAAACTGGAGATGGAGCCCATCAATCTGTGTTTCATCCACGCCTCTGGCTGGTCCTAATATGTGCTCAAGTTTGAGACCCATTGTATAAAGGAAAAGCCAGGTAAGAATTAGATTGGCACAGAAACCCAGTACAATTCATGACCATTTGAAAATTTTAAAAGGAAAAAATGACAGAGTTAACTTTTTTATTCTATTGGAAGCATTTTGCTTATAAACTAAATAGTGTCTTTACAGCCTGCAGAGTTTTATCATCATTTTGGATCTACCATAATGACTAGGAATGTGACATTGAAGTCACTACATTACCCTGGGCTTCAGTCATCCAATCAAAAACAAAAGATTTTAACTAGATCATCTCTTCCATCTGTAAAATTCTTTAATTCTTATTTGTTTATTCTATGTTATTGCTTTTGTTTTGAGGGAGGTTATTATTGATTGTACATACTAATGATGTTCCAAGTTGCAAAGAGAAGTGAGTATCTTTATTTTCTGTGTAATTTTTAAGCCCCGTCAATGCCAGCAAGTTTCAACTGTTGTTAAGTGTGGGACCCTCTTCCATTTTTATTCTCCACTGGTCCAGGGAACCCCAGCTGAAAAAGCTTATTAGAATTGTTTTTAAGGTAAAATATTATATTATCTGAGTGATCTTTCTCCTGAAAACTAATTTCCTTATTTATTAGTTATCTGTTAGTCGGCTTTGAGATACTTTCTACTCTCCCCCTTACTTAAGTTCTTTCTTTTTCTAGGTTAGCGAAACTCCAGAAAACTCAGGTTTTTCTAAAACTGGTTTTTATAGGATCTCACATATTAAAATATAGTTTTAGGTTTTTTTACTTTTTAATGTTTCTTTATATTTGAGAGAGAGACAGAGAGTGAACAGGCAAGGGGCAGAGAGAGTGGGAGACACAGAACTCGAAGTGGGTTCCAGCCTCCGCCTGGAACTATCAGCACAGAGCCCGACAGAGGGCTTGAACTCAAACTGCAAGATCATGACCTGAGCCTACATCAGATACTTAACTGACTGAGTCACCCAGCTGCCCCTAGTTGAAACTGTTTAAATCAGCAACTAAGAGCAGTAAATTTTTTATACCTTCTTCCCAAAGGACGCTCTCAAGTACACGTATACATTTATTAAATATACTTATCTCAAAGAATAATTTATAACTCTTTTATTTTTTTCACTGTACTATCAATAGAATAATTGGGTAATCTTTTCCGTTAGAATCCTAGCTCAATGCCTCCTTGGACATTTTGTCTGGCATGATCAAAAGTATTCTGCTCTAGTTTTAACCCAACCACCTTACTCCTGTCCCTACCCTGGCCGTTTAACAAGTGTTGGTTTTCTACGTAAGAAGGCAGGAACGCTTATTGAAAATACCAAAGAATCTTAGTACAGTAACAGTATACAGCATGATATATGGCATATACATAGTGGTAGGTTGTGTTTCCACTCGATTACTTTAATGTTTTTAGAGTAAATTTAAATTCTGATTTTGGTTTTTCTGCTCATACAGCAAAGATTCTAAAACTTCAGAGATTATGGTTGGTGAATGTCAGTTATCAGTGGCCCCAAAACCTCTGTGCTTTTCAGTGCCACCTTTGAATCTAAGTGCTCCTCAAGAAGACATATTACTGAAGCCCTGGATGAATGGTACTATTTTATTAATAAAATTCTGTTGGCTTTTTGATAATATAGAAATTGTATGGGAGATTTCTTTTTACCAAAAACAAAAAAGGTTAAAAAAATCAAAACCAGCCTGGAATATGTTAAAATTGGAAAGTTTGTATACCTTTCCTTAAACTTTTGATGGAACAATTTCTTAAATACCTCTAATTATGTGATAGTTATAGTATAAATAAATTATAGGTTATACCTAAAATATTCATGTTTTAGTTGGATATTTTAGAGTTATAATGTATTTTAGAATTTGTATAAGTATTTTTGAAAATCCATAAAGCTTTTGAACAAAATAAGCTAGATTGAAGAATGAATTTGGAAACAATAAAATTTCTTTGCATAGCTCACACCTAACTCTTCAGTCCCTTCCTGTCGTTGACTCCATGCTTCCTGTGTCATGTACCACTACAGCATGCCCAGATGATCATGTGTTTTATCTTAAAAGGCCTGAACAGGGGTGCCTGGGTGGCTTAGTCAGTTAAGTGTCCGACTTCAGCTCAGGTCATGATCTCACGGTTCATGGGTTCGAGCCCCGCATCGGCTCTGTTTTGACAGCTAGCTCAGAGCCTGGAGCCTGCTTCAGATTCTGTGTCTCCGTCTTTCTCTGACCCTCCCCTGCTCATGCTGTCTCTATCTCTCTCTCAAAAATAAAAATATTTAAAAAAAAAAAAAAGTCCTGAACAGATTTTATAATGGAAATTACAGCAAAACTATGCAGCAGAAATTTCAGCTTGTTCCACATTCTGTCTGAATGCTGCCAAGTAAAAAATGAAATTATTTAAAATAAACAATAATTATCTTTGGAAAAAAAACATTTCCAAATGCCCTAATTCTCATTTTAAAGGACCAACATGAAAGAATAAGATGCCTGGTATATTAGTCAGCTCAAGCAGCCATAATACAATAGCACAGACTGGGTGGCCTGTACAACAGAAATGTATTTCACACAGTCCTGGAGGCTAGAAGTCTTAAGATCAAGCTTCTGGCAGAGTTTCATTTCCAGCTGTCTTCCTGGCTTACAGACGGCTGCCTTCTCACTGAGTCCTCACATGGCTTTTCCCTGGTGCATGTGCTCTCTGCTGTCTCTTCTTATAAGGGCACTAATTCCATCAGCTCAGGGTCTCTTCCTTATGACTCCATTTAACCTCAGTTAGTTCTGTTAAAGACCCTGTCTTCAAATAAAGTCATATTGGGGTTTAGGGCTTGAATATACGAATTTGTGGGGTTCATTTCATAACACCTATGTTTGTCAGTAATTTTCTTTCCTTAGAAATTTTAATTGTCTATCATATTTGTTTAACATGGAGACTCATTTGAATGCAGTGTTCAGTGCTGCTGTATAAGGCTTTTAAGAAAGTATCTTCAGCCTAAAATGAGTTTAAAATTTTACATTTAGGCTCCTACTTAAGGAGCACCAAAGATGTAAATCATTTTTTATTTCATAGGAATGCATCATGGCAGCATAGCCTATGAACCGGGTCTGAGTAGTCCATAGTGATACTTTAAAGCAGATAGTAGTGGTCATGTGTTTCATTATTATGAAAGGAAGAAGCGGTAACATATTGGTATTTGATGTGATTCTTAATCATTTCTAGATTTCAGATTTCCAGGAAAACATTCTCTCTTAAAGCTACAGAATCCTGAAACTTGTGAAATATTTAAGAGGGAAAAAAATGCAGGGGTAAGTCCCCCATTGAAAAAAAATAATAATAATCTTATAAAGCACATATTTTGGTTTTATTTCCCTATTATTTGTTAAGCACGTCTGAACATTTACAGAGTTTGAATGGCAGTTGGTGATAAGAAGCAGAAAATGAGTAGTAACTCAGAGGATATTCACATGTAATATAAGAAGTTGAAAGCAGAAGGCTGGGCAGGCGGGGTGGAGAGGGGATATCCAAAACAGAAAATACAGGATGAAGAGTTCCCGATGATAGAAGAGAAAGCTAGTGATTTAAAGCTGTTTATAGGAAAAGTTTGTTGTATATATTTTGAATTTGTCATTTCTCTATTAATCAGAAAAGCTAAGGAAAATTTGAGTCTAAATAAATACATCTGAAATATGGTACATATATCTAAATAGAACTAACTTTTTTATAAAAACAAAAGGGGCAAATATGTGAGAAAGGGGGGGAATGTATAAAGTTTTTTAAAAACATTGAAAGTAAAACAGTATAGTAACTTTGATGGAAAATTTGTAAAATATTGCAAGAAGTCAGACAAACCACTTTGAATTGCTTTTCTTTCCATTGTTTTTGAAAATAAAATTAAGTTGGAGTTGTTTTTTTTTTATCAAGTCAGCAAGCAATTTGTCTTGGTACTGTTTTGGGTATATAATATTTCTGGTTCCTTCAAATGCTTTCTTACTTGATTATGGTGGCTTTTACAATTAACACAGAAAGAGAATTTATCTAATTTTCTAGGTGTTCCAGAAGCCCCTAGGGTTGATGCTACCCCATAGATACTGCAAATTTCATTTTAATACATTACGTGGCTGTGAGCGATCACAATGCAAGTTTGCTCATGTGCCTGAGCAAGGAGATGAAAAGGTAAAAATATGTAAAGTCTTTGAAGTAGAGATTGTTTTCAGATTATCTCAGGCATGTGTTTTAATTCAGATTTTCATTGACTTCTAATAGCATAGGTTTGCCTGGTTTTGTGCTTTAAGTAAATCATACAGTCTATTCTTTTGTTTCTGGCTTCTTTCTGTTCAAAGTTTTTGAGATTCATCTATATTTTTTTATTTAATTATAAATACTTCTTTCTCATTGCTGTATAATATTGAATATTTTATTTTGTTGAGTATATCAAAACTTATTTTATTGATAAATATTACTTTTGATTCATTTGATTTCTCAACTTGGAAATTACAGTAGTGATGTTATCAGTGTTCTTCTGTGTGTCTTTTGGTGAATATATGTGCACTTTCTGATGGGTTATACTTAAAACTGGAATTGCTGGGTCATAGGATCCCAGTTACACTGTCACCAGCAATGTCTGAGAGTTCTGCTTGCTTCATAGCGTTACCAGCTCTTGGTATTTAATTTTAGCCATTCTGGTGAGTGGGTAGTGATGTCTTCCCTGATGATTGACGAAGCTGAGCATCTTTCAAAATCGTTATTGGACACTTGGATACACTCTTTTTGGAAATCTCTAAATATTTTGCCTATATTCTATGGGACTATCTTTTTCTTATCCACCTTAAGAATTCTTTGTATATTCTGGGTATAAGTTCTTTATTGGGTATGTGTATAGCAGATAACTTTTACTACTGTACAGATTGCCTTTTCACCCTCTTAAGATGTCTTTTGATAAAGAGAATTTCTTAACTTTTACATAGTCCAATTCTGTCAATTTTTTTATGGTGTTAACTTTTTGCATCCTGTTGAAGAAATCTTTGCCAAGATCGTGAAGATGTTCTCTTATAGTGTTTCCTTTAAAAGGTCTGTTGTTTTATCTTTGCATTTAGAACACTAAGCCACCTGGAATTGATTTTTGGTTTTGATGTGAAAAAAGGGTCAAGATAAATATTTTTTCCCATGTGGGTCCCTATGTGACCCACACCATTTACTTAAAAAGACCATCCTCTCCCCCATTGAACTTCAGGGTCACCATTTCATAAATCAGCTAATTATATATGAGTGGGTGTATTTTTAGGCTCTCTGTTCTAATCCATTGGTCAGTGTGTTTATCCTTGAACCAGTAAGTAGCTTTTTTTAAAATGACCTAAAGTTGTTTTTTTTTTTTTTTTTTTATTCAGGGATTTCCTTCCGTCCCTAATTGCTTGCTAATTTTGCTATTTCCTTGACTATTCCTTTGTCAGAACATCTGTAAAACTAGGTTTTTACCGTGAATTCAGTATACATTTCAGATCTGTGAGTTAATCAAGTCAGGTTTTTTATTCCATTGCTTTAAGTTCACTTTAAAAAATAAGCAAAAAGATAGGTTTGAAATTTGTGTCTTTTTTATGAAATACAAAAAGGTAATGTTATGTTTTTTATTATTTGTAGGTTTGTATGGATGTGTTTAGGAAATATATAAGCATCAACGAGCTGTGTTTGCTACAACGTGCAGGTATGAGACAATGGGGTGATTACTATAAATTCAAGAATGTGAGCGTTTCAAACAATGTGCAATTGTATCTTATAGTTTGAAAGTAAATTCAGTACTTGTAAGTATGAAAACTGCTTTAGAGAGTGGCTCTGCTGGTGTTATAAAGGATTAAAAGTAAGTGCGGCATTTTGGTTACTTTTAAAAAATTATAATCTACCTAAGCACTATAATTTTCTAACACTAATATTTGCATGATGTAGATTGAAATTATATGTATATGTGTAAGACAAAAAAAATGTTGATAATTGGCTTAAAATCTTTCTGAAGGGATGTTTCAGAAATCAGATCTTCCCTACGTCTTTACCCTTCTCTTTTACCACTTACCTCTTGAGCCTGATGTACCATCCATACTGAGTTCTGTTCAATTTCCTTAGCAGGACAGGCTGTGTTATAATATCCGAGCCGCAGCTGTCCCTGCTCTCTATCTGGGATGCCTTTCTTTCATCCCCCTTGCCCACAGCAAAGACCTCTTTATCGCTCAAGTTTTAGTCATAGGAAATAGGCGTACCTCCTCTATCACCCCTTATCTGAGTCTACTGCCTCACCCCATTCTGTCACCATCTCCCCCTACTACACTGTGAGCCTCAAGAGGAAGGGATCAAGCTTATTTATATTTGTCACCCTGACACAGTCACCCAAGCCACATAGTATCATGGTAAGAGAGCATGTTAGCTGAATATTCATCAGCTTGAAGTCTCATTTGGTTAAAAACAAAATTTCTGACAAGTTTATTATTTGTCTTGCTGGTGATATCCTCTCCCCAACTATTAGAGGGAGCGTCTGAGGGAACTGCTGTGACTTGACTTAACCTTACACTAAGGAGGAAGTAGGCAAGAGAGAAGTAATAGCCTATATAGAGAATATAACCATCACCGAGGCATTGATGAACAGAAGCTACATGGTTAGATGTCGATGAACATTTATAATCCAGAAATAATTCCATAGCATGAGATGAAGAAGAAAAGAGGATGACATGGAAAAGAAAAAAAAAAAGAAAGAAAACTCCCAAAATTGTAATTCTGGTTGTGTAAACATCTAGTGTATCAGGAGAAATATATTTGAATTTAGTTTTAAAACAACAAATATAGGGGTGGGCAGCAGAGTCTGTGTGCAGACGAGGTGGAGGAGGTGCTGGGCTACTGCTTCCTGCGCCCTCTCCTCTCCCCCACTACCCTGCCTGAGCCAGTGCCCAGCGGCGTAGAGCCAAGGTAGGACCCAGAGCAGAGCGATGGCCCAGAACACGCTGTCCTCGGCTTCTGTTGGGCGGACATTGGCAAGTTTGACAGGAACAGATTCGTGGACAAGCAGGACGAGGCGGCGGTGCCCAAGCCAAGCCCGGCCCCTGGCGAGGTGGATGGCCTTCTGCGGCAAGGGGGCATGCTTCGGGCATTCCATGCAGGCTTGCACAACTCTCCCGTCAACACCAAGAATCAGACCGTGAAGGAACGGGCCCAAGACGTGGTGCTGACAGTGCTTACAAGTTTTAAGAGCAGTGAAATTGAGCAGGCTGTGCAGTCACTGGACAGAAGTGGCATTGACTTGCTAATGAAGTATATTTATTAAGAGTTTGAGAAGGCCCCAGAAAACAGCAGTGCATTGCTACCCCAGTGGCATGACAGGGCATTAGCAGTAGGAGGACTAGGCTCCATTATGAGTTCTTAAAGCAAGAGAGGCTTGGAAAAAAAAAAAAAAGTCTCATGTTACCTTGAGGAGAATTTTGGATGCACAGGCTGATGAAGAAAGGATTGACAATGGACCATCTTCCTAGGAAATCCCAGCTAAACTATTTCAGGACATGCATCCACTGATGTGTATTTTATTTTCAAGGTGGAGGGAGAAATCGTGTTTCCCAAATCCATTGGAGGACCTGATAGTCTATGCCTTTGTCCACAAGTAACACAGAACTGACGTCATAACTGTCTCCTGGAGTGGCTGACACGTGTTGGCCAGGTGTACCTGTGTGCTCTGCTTACTTAAAATGGGGGAGAGCCGATCGAAGCAGGTACAGATCCAAGGGCTGTGGTAGAAGGGAGAGCTTGTTTTTTTGAAGTAGTAAAACTTCAAGGATTTGCACAGACATCCCTGGGAAGATGGAGCTCTCTTGGGTTCAGTGTCAAGTGTGTGCTACATCATTAAAGCTCTTGGCTTATTAGTATGTGAAAAATAATTAATTAAAATAAAACAACAAATACAGAAAACAAAAATAAAGACCTGTAATGAAGAATAAATGCAGGAAGTTGGTAAGAACCTATGGGAATTATGTTTGGTGTGAAAACAGAAACTTAGATCAGTAGAACAGAACAGATAGCTCAGAGTAGAACCAATACTACATATAAAGAGTTTTAATATTTGGGAAAGGAAGACTCATTTAATGAATATGTTAAGATAACTAGATAACAATTTAGGAAGAGAAATCAATCGAATACCACAGGTATAAGGTATGGGTCTAACTGCTCCGGTGCACTAAGGGAAATATGAAGTAGGTAAGAATCCCATCCCCTATTTATCAATAGGTCCTCTTTGACATGTTTTATACTTGACTTTACACATAAAATTCTCTTTCCAGAAGCTATTTTTGAATGTTTTACTTAGAAATGATTACAAATTTCCAGAAAATTACAACACTTAAAATAATACAAAGAATACCCACATATCCTTACTTTATTGTTTGCACTCATTCATTCTTTCTCCCTCTCCCTCTGTCTATATATGCATGTGTGTGCATGTGTGTGGTATACATGCGCACACATTTTTTCCCTATACCATTCAAAAGTAAGTTACATGTATCATGGCTTTTTACTCCTAAATACTTCAGTATTTATTTCCTAAAAATAAGATATCCTCTTATATAATCATGGCACAGTTATCAACATCAGTAAATTTAGCATGGGTAGAATACTTTTGTCTAATCTACATTTGTATTCAAATTTTGTCAGTTAACCCAATAATATTATCATATCATTTTCCCCTCCAGATCAGGATCAGTCATTACATTTAGTTGTTGTTTCTCTTTATCCTTCTTTATTCTAGAACATTGCCATTGTCTGTCTTTGATGCGCGGCTGCACATGTGTGCGTGTGCGTGTGTGTGTGTGTATCTGTCTTCCCACTTAGATAACAACTGCACTGGCAGAATCTATCTGATACACCTGTTTTAGAACTCTAGGGTCTATTGAAGGTTTACAGTTTCTGTGAGAAGACTTGAGGGATAAATTGGGGTTAATTTCAGTCAATTTCAGCTCTTAGCTCAGTAACAACTGCCCATGCCTCATCCCCAGCCATGTGACGGGCAGCCCTGCATGTCTTCCTGGAGTAGTTTGCACACAGCCTGTGAGAGCCAGGTGGGCAAAAAAGATGCTGTCCCTCAAATGTAAGGGATCTGCACTCAGATTATTGATTACTGCCTCTGCTCACAGAGGTGCACAGAGATGGGCAGCTGTAATTGTTGCACTTTTCCCCATTGTTGCAAGTCCCACTCCTTCCTGCTAAAGTGACTTCCAAAGGGCTTAAAGAGTGAGCAACCTTTTTTGTTTTTTAATCCTCCCTTTCATTTTTCTCTTTTTTCCCTTATGGGAACCATTAGAGACTAGGATATGCAAAAACAACTGCATCCGTTTATGGAGAAAACTAAAAAGTGACTATGCATGGGATAGGCTCAGAAAAGACCTGAGTATACCTTAAGTTCACACTTCAGGCTAATCCTCACCACAGAGCATACATCAATCAAAAAACAAAAGCAGTAAACAAAAATAACAACAACAAAAAAGCAAACCTAGAGAAGGGGGAGAATCTGAGCTCTATAGTTACCACATTATCAAATTCAAATACCCACTTTTCAATAAAAATCACAAGATACGGAAAGAAATAGGAAAAGTACAACCCACTCAAAAGAAAAAATAAATCAATAGAAACTATCCCTGTAAAAGATCTAATGGCAAATAAATGAGACAATGACCTCAAAATAACTGTGTTGAAGGTGTTTAAAATACTAACATAGATATAGAGAAAGTAGGGAAAATAATGAATGAAGAAAATGGAAATATCAATACAGAGAGAAACAAAAAAAATATCTGGAGCAAAAAAGTACAATAATTGAAGTGAAAAATTCACTACAAAGATTCAAAGGAAGAGTTAAGCAGGCAAAAAATTCAGCAAGCTTGGACAGTAGGACAATAGAAATTATTGAGACCAAGTGTGCCTGGGTGGCTCAGTTGGTTAGGCACCCAGCTTTGGTTCAAGTCATGATCTCGCAGTTCATGTATTTGAGCCCCATGTCAGGCTCTGTTCTGATAGCTCAGAGCCTGGAGCTGCTTCAGATTCTGTGTTTTCCCCTCTCTCTGCACCTCCCCCATTCATGGTCTGTCTCTCTTTCTCTCGCAAAAATAAATATTAATAAAATTTTTTTAATAAAAAATTTTAAAAAGAAATGACGGAGTCCAAAGAATAGAAAGAAGAAAGATGGGAAAAAAGTGAACACAGCCTCAGGGTCTGGTGCGACTCCATTAAATGGATCAATATACACGTTGTGGGAGTCCTAGAAGGAGAAGAGAGAAAAAGCAGCAGAAAGAGTATTTAAAAAAATAATGGCTGAAAACTTCCCAAATTTGATGAAAGTCATGAATATAACTATCCACAAAACCTCAACAAACTCCGAGTAAGATGAACTCAAAGAGGCCCACACCGAGATACTTTATAATCAAAGTTTCAAAAGACAAAGAATCTTGAAAGCAACAGAAGGGAAGCAGATTATCACATCCAAGAGATCCTCACTAAGATTATAAGCAAATTTCTCATTAGAAACTTCAGAGGCCAGAAGGCAGAGGGCCAATATATTCAAAGTGCTAAAAGAAAATTTCTGTCAACCAGGAACCTTATACCTAGCAAAACTGCTCTTCAAAAATAAGAGAGAAATTAAGATATTTCCATATAACCAAAAGCTGAGAGAGTTCCTGCCCTGTATGAAATGCTCAAGGGAGGCCTGCGTGGTGAAATGAAAGAACACAAGACAGTAGAGGTCATGTAGAGAAATAAGGATCTCAATAAAGGTATATACATGGGCAGTTGTAAAAGCTAGTTTGTAACTGCTCTTTTGTTTTCCGCATGATTAAAGAGACTAATAACATTTAAAGAAAAAATTATTGCAAAAACCACTATTATCCTAATTTGTTATGTAACTCCAAATTCTCTTTTCTATATAATTCAAGAGACCAATGCATATTATTTTATTTTTTAAAAATGTTTATTTTCGAGAGAGAGAGAGCACGTGCACACACAAGCAGTGAAGGGGCAGAAAGAGACACACACACAATCCAAAGCAGGCTCCAAGCTCTGAGCTGTTAGTGCAGAGCCTGACACAGAGCTCAAACTCACAAACCATGAGATCATGACCTGAGTCAAAGTCCAACACTTAACTGACTGAGCCACCTAAGCGTGCCCCAAGAAACTAATGCAGTTTTAAAAATGATTTGATATTTTGGGAAACACAGTATATGAAAATGTAATTTTGTGACAACAGCCTGAAAAGGGTGGGGATGGAGTGTAAAAGAGCAGATTTTTTTGTATGTGATAGAAATTAAGCTGATGTAAATTCATATTAGAATGTTAATGACTTTAGGATGTTAAACATAACATAATTCCCGTGGTAATCACAAAGAAAATAACTAGATAATACACACAAAAAGAAATGAAAAAGGAATTTAAAATGTTTAATACAAAATATGAACTAAACACAAAAGATGCAGGAAATAAGGAGCAAAAAAAGCTAGGAATATGCATGTACAAAACAAATAGCAAAATGGCAAAAGTAAGTCTTTCTTTGTCAGCAATTACTTTTAAAGTAAATGAATTAAACTTTCCAATTAAAGGACAGAGATTAACAGAATAGATAAAAACACGTGGTCCAACTATATGCCATTTATGAGATATTTTTCATTTTATTTTATTTTTTTACAAGATATTCACTTTAGATCCAAAGACACAAATACTAACCAAAAGACGGGATGGCCATACTAATATCAGACAAAATAGACTAGTTCGGGGCGCCTGGGTGCTCAGTCAGCTGGGCGACCAACTTCAGCTCAGGTCATGATCTCGCGACATGTGAGTTCAGTGTGAGTTCAAGCCCCGTGTTGGGCTCTGTGCTGACAGCTTGGAGCCTGGAGCCTGCTTCTGATTCTATGTCTCCCTCTTTCTCCGCCCCTCCCCTGTTCACGCTCTGTCTCTGTAATTAAATAAACATTTAAAAAATTTTTTTAAATAGACTTTAGTTCAAAAGAGGTTAAAAGAGACAAAGGACATTATATAGTAATAAAAGTTTCAATATGGTAAGAAGAGGGGCGTGTGGGTGGCTCAGTCGGTTAAGCATCTGACTTCGGCTCAGGTCATGATCTCAAGGTTTGTGGTTTTGAGCCCCGTGTTGGGCTCTGTGCTGACAGCCAGCTCAGAGCCTGGAGCCTCTTTCAGATTCTGTGTCTCCCTCTCTCTCTGACCCTCCCCTGCTCACACTGTCTCTCTCTCTCTCTCTCTCAGAAATAAATAAAGTATTTAAAAATTTACAGTTTAGTAAGAAGATATAATAGTTATAAACATTTACACACCTAAAGGCAGATCATCAAAATATTTAAAGCAAAAGCTGACGGAATTAAAGAGAAAAATTGTTTTCCAATAATAGTTGAAGATTTCAGTATCCAGTTCACAATAATGTATGGAGCAACCAGATAAAAGAGTCCTTGACACAATATACCAAATAGATCTAACAGACATATAGAGAATATTCTATCCAGTAACAGTAGCATAGACTATCATTTCATGAACACATAGGACATTTTCCAGGATAGACAATATGTTAGGCCACAAATTAAGTCTCAACAGATTTTGAAAGATATTATTGCTGCACAAAGTATATTCTGTGACTACAATAGGATAAAATTAGAAATCAGTATCAGAAGGAACACTGGAAAATTCACAAAACTCTGGAAGTTGAACAGGTGTATCAAAAGAGAAATTAGAAAAAAACTTAAAGACAACTGAAAATGAAACAGAACATACCAAAACGTGTGGGATGCAGTGAAAGTGCTGCTAAGAAGGAAGTTTAAGGCTTTAAAGGCTTACACTAAGAAACAAGAAAGATCTCAGATTAACAATCTACCTTTACAACTTAAGAAACTAGAGGAAAAAATATGTAACCCAAAGCTAGCAAAAGGAAGGAAATGATAAAACTTAGAGCAGAGATAAATGGAGTAGAGAAAAGAAAATGAGAAAATCAATGAAACTGAAAGTTGGTTCTTAAGAAAAACCAAAAAATGAACAAACCATTAGCTACATTGACTAAGAAAAAAGGAATATTCAGGATACTAAAATAAAAAATGAAAGATATTAATGATTCTACAGAAAATAAAAAACAATTATAAAAGAATACTAGGAATAATTGTACACAAAACTAGATGAAATGAACAAATTTCTGGAAACCCAAAACCTGCCAAGACTAAGTGATAAATAGAAAATCCAAATAGACCTATAACTAATAAGATTAAACCAGTAATCAAAAGTCTCCTGACATAATCTCTGCACCCAGTGGCTTCATTTGTGAGTTTTGCCAGACATTTAAAAAAGAACTAATACTGACCTAGGTGGGTCAGTCAGTTAAGCATCTGACTTCAGCTCAGGTCATGATTTGGTTTGTGGGTTCTAGCCCTGCATCAGGCTGTCTGCTGTCAGCACAGAGCCCACTTCGGATCCCCTGTCTTCCTCTCTTTCTCTCTCTCTAAAAATAAATAAACCTTAAAAAAAAAAAAAGAATTAATACCAGTTATTCTCAATCTTTCCCAAAAAGCTAAAGAAGAGGGAACACTTGCTTATTCATTCTATGACATTGAGTTAGTCATTATTTTGATACCAAAGCAAGGCAAAGATCCTACAAGAAAACTACAGATCAGTATCCCTTATGAACACTGATAAAAAATTGTCAATAAAATACTATCAGAGCAAAGTCAGCAGCACATTCAAAGGATTATACATCATGACCAAGTGGGATTTATTCTTGGAATTGCAAGGATAGTTCAACATAACAAAATCAATCAAAGTAATACACCATATTAAGAGAATGAAAGAGAGAAACCATCTGACCATTTCAATTGATGCAGAAAAAGCATTTGGTAAAATTCAACATTCTTCCCTGATAAAAACACTCAAAAAACTAGGAATAAGAGGAAACCAATGTAATAAAACACTCAAAAAAACTAGGAATAAGAGGAAACCAATATAATAAAAGCTGTACAAGTTTCTCCCACTATCTAAAAGTAAAGTGTTCTTATGAAACCTTTCATAAGAAGTGAAAATCCTCTTTAGCTTTCTCAGTTAGTGAAAATAGGTACAGATATACCTCAGAGATATTGTAAATTCTGTTCCAGACCACTACAATAAAATGAATATAGCAAAAAACGAGTGAAATGAATTTTTTTGTTTCCTAGTGCATATAAAATTTACATTTGTACTGTAGTCTTTTAAGTGTACAATAGTAAAAAACAATGTACATATATACCTTAATTAAATTTTATTGCTAAAAAAAATTCTAACCATCATCTAAGCCCTCCATTAGTCCTAATCACTGATCACAGGTCACCACAACTGATGTAATAATGAAAGAGTTTGAAATATTTCAAGAATTACCAAAAGGTGTTACAGAGACATGAAATGAGCTAATGCTATTGGAAAAATGGTGCCAATAAGTTAACCTACTTGATGTAGGGTTCCCATAAACCTTTAATTTATTTTTTAAAAAAAAAGCAATATCTGCAAAGTATAGTAAAGCAAAGTATAATAAAACAAGGTTGGGGGGCGCCTGGGTGGCTTAGTCGGTTAAGCGTCCGACTTTCGCTTAGGTCATGATCTCGCGGTTCGTGGGTTCGAGCCCCGCGTCGGGCTCTGTGCTGACTGCCAGCTCAGAGCCTGGAGCCTGTTTCAGTCTGTGACTCCCTCTCTCTCTGACCCTCCCCTGCTCACGCTGTCTCTCTCTCTCTTCTAGATATAAATAAAACATTAAAAAATAAAATAAAATAAAACAAGGTTGGGGTACTAAGCTAGGACTTTCATAAAAGTAAAGTGGAAAAAGCAAACTTACAGAGAATGAGGGAAACCTGTATATAAAAAACCTACTGCAAATATTATACTCAATGGGGAAAGACTGAAAAATCTTCCCCTTAAGATCAGGAGTGAAGGCAAGGATACTACTTTCATCACTTCTGTTTAATATAGAACTGGAAGTTCTAGCCAGAGTGATTAGGCAAGGCAAGGAAATGAAATGCATCATTTTGGAAAGGAAGAAGTAAAATTATCTCTGCTTGCAGGTGATACGATCTTTTATGTAGACGCCCTAAAAATTCTGTACCAAAAAACACACACACACAGAGCCCTTTAAGAGCTAAAATATGAATTCAGCAAAGTAGCAGGATCTAGAGTCAACATGCAAAAATCAGTTGCATTTCTTTTTTTTTTTAATTTTTTTTTAATGTTTTATTTATTTCTAGGAGAGAGAGAGAGAGACAGCATGAGCAGGGGAGGGTCAGAGAGAGAGGGAGTCACAGACTGAAACAGGCTCTAGGCTCTGAGCTGGCAGTCAGCACAGAGCCCGACGCGGGGCTCAAACCCACAAACCGCAAGATCATGACCTAAGCGAAAGTCGGACACTTAACCGACTAAGCCACCCAGGCACCCCAGATCAGTTGCATTTCTGTACACTGACAGCAATCTGAAAAAGAAACTATAAAACATTTCAATTACAATAACATGAAAAATAAAATATTTAGGAGTTAACCAAGGAAGTGAAACTTGTCTAATGAAATCTACAAAGTATTGCCAAAAGAAATTAAAGAAAACATAAACTAGTAGAAGCATATCCCATGTTCATGGACTGGAAGACTTAATATTGTTAAAATGTCAATAGTACCCAAAATGATGTACAAATTTAGCACAGTCCTATCAAAATCCCAATGACATTTGTTTGCAGAAATAAAAAACCTATCTATTATAAGGAATACCAAAACAATTTTTTTGATTTTTATTTCTTTAAGTTTTTAAAAAATTTACTATTTAAATTCAAATTAGTTAACATAGTATTGGTTTATTTGTATGCTATTGGTAGAGCTCTACTCTACTGGAGTAGAGCCCAGTGATTCATCACTTACATATAACATCCAGTGCTCATCCCAACAGGTGCTCTCCTTAATGCCCAATACCTGTTTAGCCCATCCACCCCCCAGCTCCTCTCCAGCAACCCTCAGATTGTTCTTTCTATTTAGGAGTCTCTTATGGTTTACTTCCCTCTTTGTTTTTATCTTATTTTTCTTTCCCTTCCTGTATGTTCATCTATTTTGTTTCCTAAATTCCACATATTGAAGAGCAATCTTGAAAAAGAATAAAACTGGAGGAATCATACTTCTGACTTGAAAACTTCCTACAAAGCTACAGTAATCAAGAACTGCAGTACTGACATAAAGACAGACATACAAACCAATGGAATAGAATAGAAAGCCCAAACATAAACCCTCGTGTATATAGTAAAATGATTTTAGACAGTGGTGCCAAGACTATTCAGTGGGGAAAGCATAGTTTTTTTCACTAAATGGTGCTTGGAATACTGGCTATCCAGCATGTAAAAGAATAAAATTAAACCCTCACCCAACAGTATATGTAAAAATTAATTCAAAATGGATCAAAGACCTTAATGTAAGACCTACAAAAATATAGCTCTTGGAAGTCATAAGGACAAAAGCTCCACAGTATTGGTTTGTCAGTAATTTCTCAGATATGACACCAAAAACACAGACAATGAAAGAAAAATCGACAAATTGGACTTCATGAAAATTTTTAAAATTTGTGCATTAAAAGACAGTATCTAAAGAGTAAAACAGGAACCCACAGAATGGGAGAAAATATTGGCAAATCATATATCTAATATTAGATATTCTAAATTAATATCTAGAATATATAGAGAATTCCTAAACTCAACAGCAAAAAAGCAACCTGATTTGAAAAATAGGTAAAGTGCTTCAGTATACATTTTCCCCAAGGAGATGTACAAATGGCCAGTAAACAGTAGGGAAAGGCACGTAAAACTTCATGTGACACCACCTCACACCCATTAGGGTGGTTACCATCAAATAAAAAAAGTGTTAGGATATAGAGAAATTGGAAATCTTGTGCACTGTTGGTGAGAATGTAAAATAGTACATACAGTGTGGAAAACAGTATGGCAGTTCTTCAAAACACTAAAAATGGAATTACCATATGATCCAGCAAGTCTTCTAGGTATATACACAAAAGAATTGACAGCAGGGTCTCAAAAGATACTTGTATACCCATGTAAAATGTGGTATATACATACAGTAGAATATTATTCAGCCTTGAAAAGAAAGGAAATTCTAACACATGCTACAACATGGATGGATTAACCTTGAGGTCATTATGCTAAGTGAAGTCAGTCCATCACAAAGAGACAAATACTGTATGATTCTACTTATGCGACTTTGTTGGAGTTGTCAAAATCATAGAGATAGAAAGTGGAATGGTGGTTGCTGGGGGCTAGGAGGAGGTGGGAAGGGAGATTTATTGTTTAGTGAGTACAGAGTTTCAGTTTTATAAGATGAATTTCATGGAGATGGATGAACATTATGAATGTATTTAATACCACTGAATGGTACACTAAAAATAAGATGGTAAATTATATGTTATGTGCATTTTATCACAATGAAAAATTGGGTGGGAGGAGGGGAAGCAGTCTAGTCAAAAGCTGTCAAAATTTTTAAACGTTTTTTCACCCAACAGTTTAACCAGAAGAGATTATTTTAAAAAGAGAAGTTACATTAATGTTTTAAATTTTCAAAGTACTTCATGACAAAAGAAGGAGGGCTTCATGTCATTTAGTGGACTACTTAAACACTAACATAAATTTTTCCATCTTAAAATTTACTTATTTTAAGAGAGAGTGCCCATGTGCCTAAGAGTGGGGGAAAGGGCAGAGAGGAGAGAGAATCCCAAGAATCCTCAATCTCCTCTGCCAGCACCAAGGCTGACACAGAACTCAGTCCCACAAACTGTGAGATCATGACCAGAGCTGAAATCACAAGTCAGACACTTAACCAATTGAGCCACCAGGCACCCCTCTTTTTTTTAAACATGCAATTCCAGTTTTATTAATAAATGATAATAGCAGGCACTCTGAATTTCCCATGTTACCTGCTAAGAAGGCAACTATGCAGATACTGTGAAATGAATAGCAGGAAGAACTCCTCTGTAAGTGCCCAGGAAAAACAATTGTATATAAAGAAGCTTTAAGAAAAGCTGAATGTGGGGATGCCTGTGTGGCTCAGTCAATTAAATGTCCGATTTTGGCTCAGGTCATGATTCTGTGGTTCGTGGGTTCGAACCCTGCATTGGTCTCTGTGTTCATGGCTCAGAGCCTGGAACTCCTTCAGATTTTGGCTCCCTCTCTCTTTCTCTGCCCTTCCCCCACTCACACTCTGTCTCTCTCTCTCTCTCTCTCAAAAATAAACATTAAAAAAGATATTTTAACCCTGAATGTTATTATGTTATTAAAGTTGTTAAAGATTATTGTAATTTCAACAGTTATTATTTCTTACTATACTATTGAACTTTATCAGTAGTTATTGACTTCCCAAGCAGCACCAAGTAATCCAGATATTATAAGTATTTTGGGCAGAAATAATTACACAAAAGTAAAACCCAGATTAATTTTTATTAAGGCAGTTTCAGCTAAGGTATATAGATTTTAACCTATGAAATTTTGG